TCTTGGAACATCTTGCTGATTGTTCTCATAAGATCGCCTTCCCAAAACCATATTCCATCGTCTTCATCTGTCATTATCTTTTGAAGCATTGGTGCACTTGTCTCCCTTGCAGAAAAGCCAGTCATTCTTGGACATCGCCTTATTACAAGTTTCTCTAACAACGGAAACTTCAACAAGCAGTCGCTAGAGCAAAACGTCTGGAGTTTTGACAAATTGTCAAGTTCCAAAATTTCAAGATTGTTGAAGGCAATTTCATTGATGCTCTCCCCTCCCTCTTCCGCCACGATTTGCTCAACTGAATCACACTCGCTTATCTTCAATGTTGTTAACTTGATCAGACTTCTTGCTGTTGAAGAGGTAATTAATTAAATACATCAATCCCCTGCAATTTTGTATCTCTAAATGTACCAAGTGATTCAAGGTTACGGAAGATGGCCCCAGGTGCTTCAAATTGGAACATTCATCCACATCTAGGTATTCTAGAACATCAAGAACCGGGTCCAATTGGCATCCTTCTTTACATATATGCTGGAGTTTGTAATATCCCAAATTTTATGGATTTGAGTAAAGCATGATGAAGAAGGAATTTTTAGGGAAATTGTTGAGATTAAGACCCTTAAAATATGGTCTGAATAATTATAAAGTTAATTTCAAGAATTTAGAACCTATTTTCTTGGAATATTCAAGAAAAATAGTTAGAGGCTAATTTTTGAGGTGAGATTTTTAGGATAATTATTTTATGGACTAAAGAAACCAATAGAAGAAAATTCATATAAAATATCCATGTTTGATTTCTGGAATTATTTGATTATCCAAGAAAAATAGAGAAGGATCAAATTGAAGAGAAAATGAAGACCAAAGGGTATAATAGTCATTCCACACCCCCTTACCGACTTATTCTACCCTAATATCTTCTCCCTTCTTATTTTTCCTCTGCCATTCGAAGTTCAAACAGAGGGAGAGCTGAGAGAGTCTGAGAAAGATCAAGAAAGGGAAAGGCTAGTAGAGGAGAGAATCGGTTCATCTAAAAGTGGAAATCAAACAAGGTGAGTCTCCTGAATCTTCTTCCATCTTTATTTTCTGTTATTTGGTCATGTGTTGCAAGACGCTGATGAAGATGAAATCTGGTTTTTGAGGGAGAAAGTGAACAGCATGACAGTCAAGCAGTAGAAACGTGCTTAATGGTTAGGATGAAGTTTGTGGTTGAGATTTCTTCACTTGGTTTTCACAGTTGATTGCTCTGGTTGAAGTTTCTGAAACAGGGGTTTGAGTATTTAAGGAAATGGCTTCTGGTTTGGGTAATAGATGATTAACAAGTCTAAATATAATTAATTATTTTCTGGTTGTATGATTATAATATGTTGATTTTATATGCTCTGTGTGGTTATTGAGGGATCGAAGAGTGCGTGCTTTGAATAAGAAAAATTTCAGACTTAAGGAGGGAAGGATGCTGTTCGATTTTGCTGGTCAAGAAGCATTTGAATGCTAAAACGAAACGCATGAGCTGTATATATATATATAGAGAGAGAGAGAGAGGACCAAGCCTTTTGAGACGGAGTATTGGGAGAAAGAGTTGGGCTGATTCTAATTTAATGATATTCTCGAAGACATGTTCGGACCCAACATCCCAAATGTTTATGTTGATACGTGGCCTCCATTCTTGAAAGGCAAATGGAAAGAGATAGTATTAAATAGTTCTACATAATATTTTGGGGTGAAGGCCGTATGGTCTAATGGAAGAAGGAGTTATTATTTTGTTTGGGTTAAAAACCGCTGGATAGGAAAGGGGCAAATTGAGCTTGAATATTTGAATGCTACATGGATTGGAAAGTGATTGTTCTTTCAATCGGAATTTTAATAAAAGGAGGAATTGTTGAATTTGAGAACCAAAATCTGATTTGAAGTTTATTGGGTTGTTGATTTATTTTTGAAGCCTAGGAATAAATGATCTATAGATATATAAATATTAATTTGCTCTTACCTATATAATTTATAGGATTTGATATTTGTTCAAGTCCATCAAGAAGGGAGCCAAAGAAGAAGCAAGGGGAAGTTAGTACGGAAGAAAAAACAAAAAGGTGGTAACTCTTTTCCTTTAATGTAATTGTGCATTGATTGCCACATGCTTGGATGTGGCTTTATGCTGATTGTGCATGAGAACATGTAAGTTGCCTTTGCATAATAATATTTGTCATGACAATATGCGCTGGTTTCCATTTATTTTGGAATGTGGGCGCGATAGATAGCGATTAGCTATATGGGTGTATGGTGTATATGCATCGTTGATTATACTTGGATGCAAGGTGTTGTTCTCTTTGGCCTGTGTAGCATGTTGTTTGTGATCTTGTATGATTATGTGAGGGAAATTTGTTACTACTGGGATTCTTTAGAATCTCACCCCTTCTTCCATGTAATACAGCAAGAGCAAGTACTCCTAAGGGCAAGGGAGTAGTGATCGGTGGAGTTTAAAGGTGCAAGAAGCTGGCGATCATTTGTACATATATATTTTGCTTAAAATGCATCTTATTTTGGAGTAAAGATATATATTGTATATCTATTTTGGTATGTAAATATTCCTCCATAAGGAGATGACTAAGGGCAGATAGACCATGGTAACTGCTATTGAAGGAAATGATCAATATTTTGATATAGTTATTATTTTGCTAAAGTTATGCGTATTTGTATATGTAACTCGTTGTACGAGTCTGTGGCCAGAATGTTGAATGTTAGATCCTACTGGCTATAATTGATTTGATATGAGATCTAATATGTTGGATAGAAAAAGAATGGATTCGATGGTTGAATACGAACCATAGGTCTTAAACGGTTTTTACCATTTTTATAAAAAGGTTACAGTGGTTACTCGAACCACTAGACAGGTTACATGAAAGTGAATTTTGAAAGGTTTAAAACTTTTCAGAAAATCCCATTCCTTGAACAGGATCAGACTTTGTATTTGGGAACTAAAAAAAAAAAATTGTCTTCCCAAGGATTGGAATCTAGCTTTTAATGGATCATGACTAAATAGAATAATCCTACTCGTATATAAGGGATAGGTATTACAGAGTTCATTCAATTTATGCAGTGTCAACTCCTTGATTTGTGTTTTAATCTCAATTTCTCCATTCTCGTCTTGAGGCCTTTCTTCAGGGAATATCACCTTGAAAGAACAATCTTGAATGAATAGCCACTAAAGAGAAGATATGTTTTGGAGAAACCAATATGGAGAAGTAGCTGGAGCATCTTCTAATTCGTACAACCGTAAAAAGTTGACTTTGGAAAGTTGTATATCTCCTGCGTCATCCAAGGAAAGAAGTTGCTAACTATAAGAGAAAATATTTGGTTTTGTTTTTACGGTAGTATTTACAGGAATCCATGGTGCTCCTTGAAGTTCATTAAATCTCTATTCCCTAACAATGTAATAGAAGTGTCAATAAGTAGTAATACCATTAAGAATATAATTGTTATTAGCATGCGTCATATTTAGATTTGAAGGGAATTTTAGAAACTCTTAAAAGTTAAAACTAGAAATTAAAACTAGAAATAACAACACATCTGATATATTAAAAAAAGGTTAATACAGTCTTTGATTCCTTAAGTTTGTCTTCATTTTAGTTTTAGTCTTTCAAGTTTCAAAGCATAGTTTTTAGTCTTTCAAGAGGCAAAATAGTTTGGTTTTTAATTGAATTATAGGACAGACATTGTATATGAAAAAAAAAATTTTGAAGAACTAAAAACTATAGTCTAAAACTTGAAGGATAGATATTAAAATGAGGACAAACTTGGTGAATAAAAAATTATATTAATCCTGTTAAAAACGAACAAGCAACAGTGCCCAACGGCTTAGACCCCCACTTTGTACAGGACCTCCAGTGTGTTTGTGTGATCAGCATACAAAACCCATATTAAATGTAGGCATTATCAATATTTTTCATGTGGTAAGCCCCATAAAAAATGTGTTAGATTAGGGCGAATGTAAGTGGTATCAAGCACAAAACAAAATTTTGTACCAAAAAAAGTATAAAGCAAAAGAATCAGAGAAAAATTTATTTTAAAAAATTAACAAAAATGACATTGGAAAATTTTTGTTAATATTAAAAAATATTTAATTTTCAGTGAACATTATGATGTTGACGGTGTCGGTTTATTTTCGGAATTGAGGGTATTTATGAATTTTTTGACAGAAAAAATTAATACTCTAGAAGTGTTATCCTATATAAAAAAAACATATTATATTCTCGATACATGCATTAGATAGAAGATATTATATTGACAATACCTCTAATAGTTGTCACTTTTGAGAAATTTCTTAAAATTAATATACTATGTTACAAGATATATTGCATGGATTAGCAGTGTTGTCAACTGAAACAAGGTGTTATAATTACTCCCTCCATTCCTTATTATAAGAGACATTTGATGCTTATGGCATGTTCCTATATATAAGAGACACTTAAAAGTTGTCTCTACTTTTTTGTGTTGATTTCCTATTCTACCCATATTTATTGTCTCCAACTCACACTCTCTCTCCTTCCTACTTCTCTTTCTTTTAATAATTTACCATTGTTCTCTCTCACGCTCTCTCTTCTTATTAATGAGGGTATTTTTGGAAAAAAATTTATACTTTTTACCTATTGATTGTTCTTAACTAATTTTAACTGTTTTTTTGATCAACATAATTCGATTATTCGTCTCTTATAATAAGGAACGGAGGGAGTACTTAACTTGCCGGGGAACAAAAAAAAAACAGAACTACAATAAAAAATTGATGAATGATTTTGCAAGAACAGAAGCTAAAAAATTATAGATGTTAATAAGTAATATAGACCTATGTCTTCACTCCAAAAAAAAGAAATAGACCTATGTCTATTTAATGACGTACCCTAGAGCCTAATGATGTTTGGACACATGACACATCCTTCACAAACAAACAGATTAAAAATTATAATTATCTATTTTCTTTAAAAGATGAGCCATACCTCTTCAAGTGCAAAAAGAGGCTATTGCATTGAGACATGGAGATCAGAAAGTCTTGCTTTACTACTTGAACCTTGTGTCTTGAACAGCTTCAATTTCCGACAATTGTAGACATGTAATGCTTTTAATGATGAACAAGATAAGCTATGATTTCCAGCACAAAATCCCTGTAAATTTTGCAAATTCCAAAGCATCATTGAGGATAGTTTGTCGAACACAAATCTCACAGGATAATCTAAGGGTTCTTCTCTCTTGGAAACAATTTCCTTCATCTTTTCAGCATTAATTATTATAATTGCTTCAAGCTGAGGTAGGTGCTTAGCTATGGAGAATGGAAAAAGTTACCCTAAATCATCACAGTCTTCAATACGCACAACTTGTAGATTTTTAAATAGAAGACTTGATTGAGGATCTCTGCTCCAAATTTGTTTTAGCTTTGGCAATTGAAGCAATGTGATACACTTGAGTTGTGTTGTATCATCAGTATTGACACCCAGCTGGAATATGCCTTGCACTGACTTACAGTCTTTAACCTTCAATGTCTCTAGAGTTGCAATTTGCAAATGCTCCATTCATATATTCTGGAAATATTTTCTCAATTTTTTCACAATTTTTTACTTTCAATATCTTGATGCAGGCCAAGGAATTTGAAGGCAGAATGAGGCGCCAGAGCGTCTTTAAGTTCTGCATGTCTCTTATGATTATTGCCTCCATTTTGGGAAAAAGCACCTGTCATCCGTTTGCAAGGTTAAAAGCGAACCAAAAAGTAAAACATAAATTACTTGAAGTGTCTGCTATGACTCTGATATCATGAGAATGCTTTTTTAGAAAGACATGACGGTTCATAGACAATTTCTTTTTGCATTTATTTTAGTTTCATGCTGACATGCTGCTTTTGCAAATGAGAGAGTAAGGTTGTTCACATGGAATTTCAACTTCTAGAACCAAACTATGATTGACATAAATGGTTTCAAGTACCCAATAAAATCTTTTCCGTTCAAATTGAATTTACCTCTTCTAGTGCGGCGCCATTTGTCTTCTCTGCAGCAATTATCTCCTCCATCATATCACATTTACTTATTTCAAGTTGCCTGAGATTCAAAAGCCTTCCAACTATAGAAGATGAGAATAAATACTTTAAGCCACTGCAATCCTCTACGGTCAAGTTGGCCGACTTTTGGATCAAATAGAGTGCAGAAGACTGGTTATCATCCCAAATTTTTCTCAAATTGAGTGAACTCAACTTCAAAGTCTCCAAATTAAAAAATTTAACCTGTAGAAAAATTGTTTTTAGTTTGATTGTGATGAATGAAATACGCAGTAAAACAGTATAGTTATATAATGTTAATGTTGAGAATTTTGATAGACCATGGATATCTAAAAGGTGACGTCATTCATTTAGAAGAGGATGCTGATAAATTTTTTTGATAACAATTGAACTACAATGTTATTTATTAAATAAAAGAAAATATCAATAGTTGGATATTACTCATTTAGAGCGGTATATAAAAAAAAAAAAAACTAAGAAATACACCTCGGCACTAAAAAATGGTGTTGGAATATTAGCCCTCTGTAAGTTCTGCTTAGTTCTCAGGGAATACGTCAACTCATGATAGCAAAAATCATCAATAGTTGGCAAATGTTGTAAAGTCAACGAACGCAATGGAAGTATCTCAATCTTCTCATCAATAGTATTGCCACTATCTAGACTTTCCACAGACACAATTTTCTTCATAGAACTGCATTAGGAAACTTCAACCTCAACAAGTTGAGAAAAAGCTTTAACCATTGAAACAGAGAAGAGATGTATCATTTGGTTACAACTTTTGACTTTGATGACTGTGACTTTGTGAAAGGAATTAACAGGAAGTGGACCATGACATATCTTTACTAAGCCATTGAGATTGTGAAGTATTAATGTCTGCAATTCTGGGAACAAAACTGGAGTTTGATTCTTCTCCATTGAGGAGATGATATGCTGAATTTCATCATTATTTTGGATCTGCAAATGCTTTAGCAATGGAAATCCTTCCCCATTCAATTCAAAAAGCACATTTAAAATGCCACTTATTTTATCCAAGTATAAATATTCCACTCTTTCAATCAGTGTTTTGATCCCTTGTTTCCAACGAACGCTAGTATCGAGCTTCACTTTTAGCAACCTTGAGGTCTCTCTGTTGTCTGACCATTCCCATTTATCTCCAATAACAACCTTATATCTTTCTAACTTCTCAAAAATCAAAATCTATGTCTTCAGGCAAAAGCCAAGACTCATGGATTTGGATCTCTAGAGCAGTCAAGCAAGTCAAATGGCCAAGCTTAGCAAGACTAGCATTCCTCTCTTGCTTAGTTGAACTTTGCTCCTCCCGCTTAACTCTAGCATTACCCATATACAATTCTTCTATTTTGGTCAACTTGCACAAAATATTGGGTAGGGGGTTCCCAATTCCAGAATTGCTCAAACCCAACATTCTAAGCTTGGTCAACTGCTTTATTTCACGTGGGAACTCTTCCATGGATGAATAGTAATAGCTAAGAATTTCTAGATTCATCAAAGCACCTATTCCAGTCATATCTTTCAAAGAGCGAAAATCCAAACACAATATTTTGAGTTTGCTCAAGTACCTCAGAGATATAGGTAATGAAGACATGATTATTCCATTCAAATACAATGCTTTGAGGTTTCCTGTCCCCTCAAAAAAGGAATCTGGAATTTTTAAAGTGCGATTATCAGTGCTGTTTATGTGGAGAAATGTCAGATGTGGACAATCTAACCTTACAGGAAGCTTTTGGATGCAACACTAGTATAAGATAATATGGGTACACTTTTTAGGAATATCCTTTCTTGGCCAATCTTGTCACTTAGCATTAATTTTAGTAAAAACATATTTCGAGGCAATCAAGACAGCTACCTCACGAACAATGTCATGTATTTTGATCATATCTGCTCCTGCATCGTCATCGTCATCAACCAATAAACAAGATGTCTTTAGATCATCAATTACTCTATAAAGCCCATTCCTTGCATCCTCAATGGTATCTGCACGTTTGAATGTACCCAAACCAAAAACATATTTCAACAAGTCACCAATGAACGTGGATGTTCCATGCACACCACAAAACAAGAATACTTTCTTTACTTCATCTTCCAACCGATTCAAATTGAGTTCCAAAGCTGAAACAAGTGTTTCTTGCATGTCTTTGTTGTCAACCCTTTTTAGATTGTTCAAAGTATCTTTCCAATAACGAATATCCTTATCGTTTAATGACTTTGCGATTGTAACTATCAAAACAGGTAGGCCTACACACCTTTGAGCCATTTGGGTAGCTATAGTTTGGAACTTAGCATCTTTAACATCACCAACCATCCCTTCAAACAATCTCAAGGATTCTTCATCATTCAAAACTTGAAGGAGGAAGTTCTTTTGAACATCATTCTTTTGTAAAATATCTTGACTTCTTGAAGTCAACAATAATTTGTAACCCTTGTAATCATCTTTTGCAGGAATTCCCACCTTTTCTGAATTAACTTTTCCTCATGTATCTAAAGAAGGGATTCCTATCTTGTCCAAATCAATTTTTCCCTGTAAATCATCTAGTATGATGAGGATAGTTTTCTCCTTCTTTATTCTCTCACATAGGCGACTGGCTCTTCCAATCAATGATGTCTTCTTTTCCAAACGGAGGCCTAACTGTTCTGCAATCTCGTTTTGAATACTTTCAAGATTTGTTTAGGATATGGTTACCATAACCACCGCATCAAACACCTTGTCATCCTGCACCTGTCGGGCAATTTCTTTAACTCGAGTGCTTTTTCCCACTCCGCCTATACCATAAACCCCAATTTTGCTGACCTTAGAGTCTTTTAGAGACAACACGACGTCCTCCTTGACTGACTTTCTTGACCCAATCTCATCACTTCCTCTAGTGGCAGAAGAGTTGTTTGTTATATCTAATTGTCGAACATACCCAACTCCTTTATCAAAATTCCCTTTTTCCTTCATTTCAACAATGGCGCTTGCCATTTTCTTTGCTTTTCTTCCAAGTTGATGTCGACACTTCAAATTAGGAAAAAACCATTTCGAACACCGTCTACTAGCATGAGGTTCATCTTCACAAAGTTTCCCTACTTCTTTCAAGGTCTCAATAACATCTTCTCGCCATCTTAGCACATCACCTTGAATCTCTCTTCCATTTCTACTTTCAGCGTCAACTTCATGGTCAATACGTTCTTTCGTTGCCTGCAGCTCCCCTACTTGATCCTTTAGCTCCTTTAAATTGTTTCTATAGCATAATAAATATCCCACTTGCCTTCCAATGGGTTCCACAGTAAGCTCTACCATTTTTCCAGCAACAGAAATGAGAATGTCCATTCTTCCTATATAATATGACAAGACAATTTAATGCTTGAATAAACAAAGCAAGGATAAGAATTAAAGGATTGAGCAAATGTCTAATGACAAGGTTATGTAGCTAATAAGTAACTGAACCAGAAAGCAAAGAAATCTATTTGATGGACATTTTAACCACCCAAAGGAAAATAATTTGCACTCTAGTTCACTGGCCTAAAAGGAATTGATTAAGAGCATAAAATTGTAACAGAGGAAAGAAAAACTAAATGGCAACGGAATCTTGAAGAATGAATGTGTAGGAAACAAGTGTGAACGCTTGCAGAATGTTCATGACCTTTAATTTATAATTAATCAAGCTTTTGTCATCAAAATTGGAAAGACTGATTGTTAAAATCACCTCCTAAGGCCATGACAAATGAAGTCAAAGGCAAATACCACTAAATATCATTAAGGGTAAGAATATCGAATATTAAAGGAAAAATCATAAATAAAGACCCTGACAAATCAAAAATTGTGATGTGAGTTTTTGAATTCAAAAAATTGCTGCGAGATGCTGGGTCTTAAATACAAATTAGCAAATGTTGTGTAAAAGGCCAAATTACACTCCTCTTAAAAATAACAAGCGAACCATATATTGGAAATAACAAGTACAATATTAGAAATTACAAATCAAGTATTCAAAATAACAAGTTGAAAATTATAAGTTAAATATTCTAGATAATAATTCTACAATTGAAAATGATAAGTTCAAACAGCAAGACAATTTGGTCTTTTACATAACATTTGCTAATCCATATTGAAGACCTAGTCCTTGGCAACGATTTTTTAATTCAGAAACCCAAATAGCAATGTTATATTTCCTAGAGTTTTTATTTGTGATTCATCCAATATTAAATGTTGGAAATGGATAAGTGATGATTTGAAAGTAAAAATGATAAAACCATTTTGAATATCAAAAAATAACCGGTAGAGCTTCCAAGAGTAACTATTTCTTCTCTCTTCACTGCCAAAATAGGCAAAGACGTTAGTCTACTCTCCTGCCGATTACAGTTCTACTTTAACTCATATATAGCTTTGGATTTGCTATAATTCCAAGTAACAATATCCTCTACTTCTTGCTTCTTCTGCGTCTTATAGGTCAATCTACCATAAGAGCCATAATATCCTAAATTCTATGATTAATTGCTTCCTACATTCGTTGTTCCCATAAACTTTAGTATTTCATATATAAAATATACTACCTCACTTCTTAATATAAAAACTAGTTAAAGTCCTAAATATAAGATCTTAATTCATTTTGTCTCCCCCCCAGATATATAATATTTTACCTAAAATATCATATTGATTGCAAAAAATTCCCACTGAGAAATAATTCCAATGCACATGATTAAAAACTAATAAAAATGGGAGTTTAAAAAAGCAACACATATTTTGTTACAGTTAACTGATTCAACTAATTTTCTTAATCTAATCAAATCAGTTTTCTAACTTTTATATCAAGGACTAAAGGTAGTATATGTTTTGACTAGTGGATGTGATTTTAATAGAATACTACACCTGAAGATCATGATTCGAGCAAAGATGCAACATTTGTTTACATGTTATGAAACCAATTCACTGTGAGGACATCCACGAGTATATATCACTTGTGACCCCTCACATTTCTCTTGGTATTTCTTATTGAGATTTGCGTGTTTTTAGTTTTTTTCCTCGGATGTTCTTAAAATTACGTGCTGATCACTTGACACAATTGGTTTTGTTTTAAAATTTGTGTCCCAACTTCGTCTGTTAATACAGGAATCACTTTACCCTTCAATTTTTGGGCCTGGGATAGGAGAGTATTACATTCTGGGGAGAATCTCATAGGATTTTTAATTCTTAATATGCATATAAGTGAGATCAACACCATTTATTCACCTGGAAACCTTAAGGCCTAGGGTTGGCTGTCCCCCCCCCCCCTCACTCATATATATACGACATGGTAATTTTATTCTATGTGAAACTTCTCACATCAAGTGACATTTGAATATTAACATTAACCCTAAATGAAGATGGAAAACTAAATTATTTAGGACTTGTTTCTTTGGATCACAGATATCCCAAATTTCAAAACTTCGAGTTAATGGTTCATAAAGTGTCGAGGAGGCTTAGAGAAATTAGTTAAGTAATAAGGCCTTCGACAAGGATTTACTTGGTAAAAGCTTACTTTTGGGCGAGAAATTCAGGAAATCAAAAAAGAAATTACAATTAAAAAAAATATGGAGGCCAGAATAGTCAGGGTTGAAAACTTTAAACAATTGTAAGGTCAATTTCTTTAATTAAGAGCCTGTTTTCTTGATAAATTCATAAAAAATAATTAGAAATTTATTTTTAGCCCAAATAT